ATTTTTTGTCGTTACTGCTGTTTCTATGGAGGCAGGGGATGGTCAGTTGAACACCCTTCGCCAGAAAATTATACTGTGTGTATAGGTCAAATATTACTTTGAATATGTATATATTAAATCTTGAACACCCTTGAGGTATTTTCTGTCATCATCACTGGATGGACGTAGTGTTGATGTTGCGTAACCTACTCGCCTGTTATGTTCCATAGGAGTGCAGCAGAGGATGCAATAGAAAAATTGAATGGAACAGTTATTGGAGCTCAGACAGTTCGTCTTTCCTGGGGTCGCAATCCAGCAAACAAGCAGGTATGTACCAAACCAATTTTTTTTTAATAGTAAGCTGTCCATTGATAAATCAATTTTTAATGGTGTAACAAAATGAATTTAGAATTTATTTGGTGTCTTACCTTTCCTTATTGACTACATTGGATGCTTTCTTTTACGTAATCTCACTGGTTCTGGAGGATGTGCTGTAAAATAACGACTTATAAGATTATAGAAGGCTAGTTTTTACAGTTCTGTGATCTTTGTTTTGTAAGTATTACTGGACTACTGCTGGAGTATTCCTCTGTTGATAATGCAGAAAATAAAAAATAACGACCGGCTTATATTAGTATATTACTCTTGGATTTCCCCGCTATGAAGTAATTGAAACATTTAGAGCTCAAGAGTGACATGGTTTATGCACTTTTTTAGTAGTTGACCTATATTGGATTTCAGATCTAGTTTATAGCTGGAAATGATTTTCGTTGGGTCCTGGGAAGTGATTTTCCACTTATTTTTTGAAAACATTTCTTTAGACCAAGTATTTTGTGCAACAGAACAAGAGAGGGAAAATGTTTGGGGTCGATTTTCAAGGGCACAAGTAGGAGTCACTAGAGTTGTGCAAATAGATAGTTGCAAGCAGGCTAGAAAGAATGGAGAATGACTCCATTATCAAGAGGCCTAGATATACCATCAATCACACCCTATACCACTAGACTGAGAACCTCCACACATGTCGTGTCCCTTCATAACTTCTCCGTCCTTATTTTGAATTTCCTTCTTCTATTGCTCTAGGTTATTCTTTTTTTTTCTTAGAATGAAAAATACAATTTTAATATTATGAAATACTACAAAACCTTTGGTTTACCACAGTTGACTTGATTATATATAGTCTCTCACTTAAGTTCTGCGAGAAAATAATTATTTTCTCCTTCCCGATTTATGTGATACACTTTGATTGGGCACAAAATTTTAGAAAGAAAGACTTTTGGAACTTGTGGTCCCGAATAAACTATGCATATTTGTTTAGCTATAGATGATCTAATTGAGAGTAGAATAAGATTTGTCGTACTTAGAAAAGGTTGGTTCTAAAGTGGGTGTCAAGCTGAGAAGAAAATATTATTTTTTAAAATAAAAAGGTATAATTGTTTTTGATACAGTCAAAAGTTGAGTGCATCACATAAATAACTATAGAGAGAGTACTAACCAATTAAACGCAAGAAATTATTTAGTGGAACCGCTCAAATTAGCCAAATACTGTGAAACAAGTAAGAAAATGATTCCAAGAAATCATTTGCTGTAGCCTGTAGAAAACATTCTTCTTTCCCCCAAACAGACACCCAGTGAAGCTTATAAAATATTTGCTATATAATACAAACTTATACTTGCTCTGTTTTTGCAGTTTAGAACCGACTCTGGTAGTCAATGGAATGGGGGTTATTATGGAAGGCAGAATTACGGTGGTTATGGGTATGGTGCATCGCAGAGCCAAGATTCCATGTATGGTGCTGGAGCAGCTCATGGTGCATCCTCCAATGGATATGGGAATCATGAGCAATCAGTTAGCTGAACTATAGTTGGTTGTGCCATTTAGTTAGGAGTTTGGATAAAAATTATTTTTTTCTTTTTGAAGTTTATATTTGGGGGTGATTTAAATTGGTTTACAGGTTAATACTGGTTGACGAGGATTTGTGACAGGATTTCTGTTATGCTTTGATGGTTGCTAAACTTATTTGTCTCATGTTTCTATTTCCTTCTCTGTTAATTTGTCTCTGCTCAGCATTTTATCTTAGGTCGACTTTGTAAAGTCATCAAAGTAGTAATGAAATTTGTGTGTGCAAACACAAATATGATAGCAACAGTGAGACGTGTACTGTGGTAGGTTGATCCATTAGGATCGACATAGACAAGGAATTTGGTTGGTTATAGTTGTCTTTGTTTGGGGAGAACCAACTTTAGCGGAAATTTAACAACTTCAGTTGGGAAGGAAAGAGAAGAGAAATAGAGATTCAATTCGAGCTAGAAATATTCTGTTCTAAGAGATGCTTACTATTATTACTTGTGGAAAATAAGTCTGGGCTAATGTGACAACAGCATGATTCTTTTAGTAATTTTGGTAAGGTAAGAGAATTGCATCCAAAGTTCAAGAACCAGTTTTCCCTTGACTCCTTTTAGCCAATAAACAAAATGATTCTCTCTCTGGTGAGCTTCTTGATCTTTGTACAACCTGAATATTATATAGGGCCACCAACAATGGTTGAAAGAAGCTGATAGGATAATGGCATTTGCTAGGTCTAAGGGTCCTTCAAACAAACCTCTATTACTCTGGAGTCTGGATAAATGGAGGTTGTTCTTGATGAAAAATTCATCAAACAATTTTGTATCATTGTTTGAGCAGAGGTCCCTTCTGGAATGTTGAGACAGTTGCCTAAACTTCGTGATCGTTGGGATAATGCAAGAGCGGGTGGTTGTTGGCATTGGTCTCTCTTCCATTATTTCTGATGAGCCATTTAATCAGTTGGTTCTTCAGCTTCACAAATGCAAAATATTTAGCAGTGAACAATCGAATCAATATAAAATCACAATTGTCCTTAGCCCCACGGTCACGTCAACTCCAAAATAGGTATAGTTGTAATGTAATATAGAGAACACGCAGATTGAATTGACTGAAGTAATGATGGTATGAATCAAAGTAACTATGAGTAAATAAAGTCTGAGAATATTTGATGAAGATGATTTTGGAGTAGCTTTTGCTCTGAAGAATAGCAAAAGATTGATAGAAAAAATAAACAAGAATCTTGATATTTTCCAAGTAGTCTGAACTAGTAGTTGTAAAGCTTAGGATGGAACCCCTTCCAATATGAAGGCCAAGCCCATTCTATAGGAGTGAATTATGATTGGGATGTAATGATCGACAATCATTCCCTCTTACTATATACTTAGAATGAATAGAATTTGATTACTTATAAAAAAAATTAACGTTTGCCGTTATTTTTTTGGAGCAAATCTTCTGATTACTAATCTCATCTTCCTTTAGATGCTATATCCCTGTCCGATCTTATTTTCCAAAGTGAAGTAAACTCATTTCCTGTGATGATATCTGACTATTGCATATTTATTTTTTTCACGTGTCTCAAACTAACTTAATAAGTTTCTTACCTTTTATAAATACTTTCTCTATTTCTTATTACTTATTCATATTTCCTTTTTAGTTATTCTTAATTACTTATCAATTTTAACAAATTAGATAATTTTCTTTTACTTCAAATCTCAATTTATTATTTTGAAAAAGGTAGAACTTTTTGAAATTTTTATTTTATTTACTTCATAATTATTAGGAATAAAATAATAAACTTACTATATCAATTATTTATTTCTTTAATTAAAAAATGTGACAAGTAAATAGGGATCTAAGAAATAATATTATGGGAGAAACTAGAAGGAAAAAAAAGAATATAATAGGATTAATAGCAAAAAATGAAAAACTTTAAATTATTCGTTTTTATCAATTTAATAAAAACAAAATATCATAGTATTCTCTCTTTAAATTATAAAAATTCAGCGCCAAATGATCCGAATATTTGTGACAGTGTGAGCTTTTCCCCTAGTACAAATCCTAACCCCAAATTAGATCGAACCCCGAAACTAAAATGGCGGAGGCAGAAACGCCAAATCGGAGCCCCGAAATCCGTAAAGACAAAATCCACAACAGGTGGATACTGTTCTCTCCGGCGAGATCGCGCCGACCGTCGGACTTCAAGGCCAAATCGAATCCACAACCGAACAATCAAACAGAATGCCCATTTTGCGCCGGCCACGAGCACGAGTGTGCGCCGGAGATATTCCGTGTGCCAGCAGATTCCACCAACGATTGGAAAATCAGAGTTATCCAGAACCTTTATCCGGCAGTCAGCAGAGAGTTGGATTTCCAAAATCCAGTTTCTCTAGTCGGTGACGTAGCGGTTAGTGGATTCGGGTTTCACGATGTGGTTATTGAATCGCCGGTTCATTCAGTAAATCTGAGTGATCTTTCTCCGGCTCAAGTTGGGGAGGTTCTGCTAGCTTGTAAGAAGAGGATCGAGCAGCTTCGAAGTTGTGATTCTATCAAGTATGTTCAGGTTTTAGTCTGATCCCATTTCAAAAAACGTGATTAGTTTTGAAATCAATTTGTCTACTTTTTAGTTGATTTGTATATTCATTCCTTATTTTTGTATGAAGTTTAAATAAATGCACTGAAAACTACATAAAAATAGAAAACTAGTTGTAATTGCATTGAAAGGTATCGAAAGTACCTTTTTGATATGATAATAATTAGAGTTTAGAATCACTTTCTTGTTAATAAAACTAGCTTATCAATTAGTTAGTTAGTTAGTTGGAGTTAGTTAGTTGGCACTATTCATCTTTCAAGAAATTAGTTATAGTTGGTTCAAGTAGTTAGTTATAGTTAGTTATAGTCACATGTTTTGTATTGATGATTTGTTAATCTGCTAGCTCATCATTATTGTGTATATATACACATGTAATACATTGTTTGAGATTGAGTACTCTAATTCAAAATCAAATTCCTTCTTCTCCTTCATTTCGTTTCACTGTTGAAGGACTCAACCTCCATTAATGGAGGAATGAGGTACTTTCCAGCTTACATTGCTGGTTTCAACATGGTATCAAAGCGAGGTTCCTCACACTAGATCTCTTGATCTGATTGTTGATCGATTTAGTAGTCTCCTCTATTCAAGTAGATCCTTGATCTGTTTTTCTTCTTCTTTCTTTTTTCTCCTCTGTTTCTCTTTGGTTTGGTTGATCACTTGTTGCTGATTCATAGAGTTTTTCATTTGCTGATATCAATCCATTCTCCATGGGTGATACTTCAACTGATGTGAATGCCAATAACTCCCTAAAACGACCAGACTTCAATAGCCCATTCTATCTACATCCATCTGAAAATGCTGCGTCTACCTTGCTTCCTGTGGTGTTTGATGGAACTAGTTATAGATCGTGGAGACGAGCAGTTCTTAGGGCATTATCCGTTAAGAACAAAACTGGATTCATCAATGGTAAGATTGTGAAACCAAGCTTTACAGATCCATCATTCATGCAGTGGGAGAGATGTGATGACATGGTGACATCTTGGATCCTGAATTCCCTCTCCCCAGACCTGCGAGATAGCCTTCAATATGTTAACAATGCCAAGGAATTATGGGAGGAATTGGAAGATAGATATGATCAGACTAATGGATGCAAACTGTACCAATTGCAGAAGGAAATAAATGACTTGGTACAAGGTACTTTAGACATTACTGGTTACTATACAAAAATGAAGAAGTTATGGGAGGAAATGAGTGCAATTGATGTCCATTCTCAGTGTAGTTGTGTGTGTACTTGTGGAGGAAAGGTAAAATTGTATAAGACTGAGCAGGACAGAAGACTTATACACTTCTTAATGGGTCTGAATGAGATGTACACTGCTGTGCGAGGGAACATTCTCATGATGTCTACTTTGCCCACAATGGCACAGGCATTTGCTATCTTGTCACAGGAAGAGAGGCAAAGAGAAATGAAGCCTCCAAACCATATGGCTTTGGAATCTACTTCACTTAATGCTTCTATGTTGCCTCAAAGTAATGCAACCAACTCTGGTTCTTATAGAGGAAGCACAGGTAGGGGAAATGGAAACTATAACAACACTGGCAATTTCAACAACACTAATACCTATAGAGGAAACTCCAACATTGGCAATAGATCAAATATGTTTTGTGAATATTGCAAACGAACTGGACATGTCAAAGATAGGTGCTACAAACTTCATGGTTATCCATCCAACACAAGAAATCCAAGAGGAAGAGGCAAAGGATCAGCAGCAAATGTACATACTTTTGAAGGTGATGGCAACAAATGTGAAGAAAACTTTGAGCAGGGAAAACAAATGCCAGTGAACCTGTCAAAAGGTCAATATGAACAGTTACTCAACTTACTTGGAAATATGCATGGTGGAGCTGAATCTGATTACTTAAACAGTGTGTCAAGTGGAGCTGCAAGCTTAGCAGGTATATTTGCTTGTCATTCCTCTATCAGTAGGATAGGTGATATATCATGTAGATGTGAAAAATTGACTGCTGGCTCTTGGATCATTGATTCAGGGGCATCTCACCACATGACCTACACAAAACACAATCTCACAAACCTTAAGTCTCTACCTTATCCCTTCTTAATCACATTGCCAAATGGATACAAAGTCAAGGTGACTGAATTTGGTGATGTGTGTTTGAATCCAACATTAATTCTATATAAAGTGTTGTACATACCTAGCTTCAAGTTCAACTTAATATCAGTTTGTTGTTTGGCTAATCAACTCAGAGGGATGGTTAGTTTTAACAGTGATTCTTGTTTACTGCAGGGCCCTTCTCTGAAGAGCCCTCTGGCACTTGGTAAGACAAGGAATGGTTTGTATTTCTTTTGTTCAAAGTGTCACATTCCATCTGTAAATGATGATATTGTTTCTCATCAAAAATGTCAATCTGTTTCTCTTCTTAACTACTGTAAAACACCATCACCATCTAGTACAAGACATCCTCATATAATCAATAAAGAAACCTGTTCTACTGATCATACTTCTAACTCAACTACTCATTTTTCCTTCAGTCAAGACAATGAATTCTTATGGCATGCTAGATTAGGACATGTACCTTTTGTGAAAATGAAAAGCATATCTACCATTCCTTTAAAGTTTTCCAACAAACAACCTTTCACTTGCACAATTTGTCCAATGGCTAGACAAACTAGAATGCCATTTCCAGAAAGTACTACTAGAACTAGTTCAATATTTGAGCTGTTACATGTTGATTTGTGGGGACCTTATAATGTACCAACACATGATGGATATCACTACTTCTTGACTATGGTAGATGATTACAGTAGAGCTACTTGGACACAGCTCATTAGGTGTAAGAGCAATGCTCTTCATACTATAAAAGCCTTCATATCCTTAATAGAAAATCAATTCCACACCAGATTGAAAACCATCAGGTCTGATAATGGCTTAGAATTTTCTAATAATGAAGCAACATGTTTTTTTCAAGAAAAGGGCATAATACACCAGAAATCTTGTCCCTACACACCACAACAAAATGGGGTAGTGGAAAGGAAACACAAGTATCTTCTTGAGACAGCAAGGGCACTGTTGTTTCAATCAAAATTACCTATGAAATACTGGGGAGAATGTGTACTAACTGCCACTTATTTGATTAATAGATTACCTACTAAACTTCTTCAAGGGAAGTCTCCATATGAGCTGTTATACCAGAAGAAACCTTTTTACTCTCATCTCAAAAATTTTGGATGCCTTTGTTTTCCAACCACTTTGAAAACTCATAAAGAAAAGTTTGAACCAAGAACTGTACCTCACATTTTCATTGGATACCCTTTCAATACAAAAGGGTACAAGGTCTTAAATTTGGCTACCAAGAGAATTCATGTGTCTAGAGATGTCTATTTCTATGAAACTATTCTTCCTTTTGTCATTGCTCCTGCTGGCTCTAACTTTAATTCTGTACTGCAATGTCTTGTTCCTTACTCAAATAAGTTACCTTGCATGTCTAGTAAAACAAACACTTTTATTGATGATGAAATGTTGGATGATCACACACTGGATGAAGTCACTTGTGACCAAGTATCCATGCCTGAAAATACACCTACAACTGAATCCACAACACCTCCCACTGGACTAAATATACTTACCACAGCACCTACTGGACCAAACATATCTGTTCTTACACCAAGAAGGACAAATAGATCCTGTCATCCTCCAAGCTACTTGAAAGATTACAACTACTCATTACCCAAGTTACATTCTACTTCACCTATAAACAATATTGCTGATTCTCAACAATCACTCACATCTCTCACAACTCATCCTAATCATATGTGCTTCTCTACACTATGTTGTGAGAGTTAGCAGTTAATTCATAATGTCTCACATGATATTGAACCCACATCTTATGAAGAGGCAAGCTTAAATCCAGCCTGACTAGCAGCAATGAAACAAGAATTTGATGCATTGCATGTTAATGATACTTGGGAACTGGTTAAGTTGCCAAAAGACAAGAATGTTGTTGGATGTAAATGGGTGTATAAGATTAAACATAAGGCAGATGAGAGCATAGAAAGGTTCAAAGCTAGATTGGTGGTAAAAGGATACACTCAACAAGCTGGGATAGACTACAATGAAACCTTTTCACCTGTGGTAAAGATGACTACAGTTAGAACTCTAATCTCCTTAGCAGTAAAGAAGGGCTGGAACTTGTATCAATTGGATGTCAATAATGCTTTCCTACATGGTGATTTAAATGAAGAAGTGTATATGGCATTACCCCCAGGACTGGTAGTGGACAGCAGTGATATGGTCTGCAAATTGAAGAAGTCCTTGTATGGTTTGAAGCAAGCTAGTAGACAGTGGTATGAGAAACTAGCTAATAGTCTTTGCTCAAAAGGTTATGTTCATTCAGAAAGTGATTACTCACTGTTTTACAAGAAAAATGGTAACTCCTTGGTGTTTGTGGCTGTATATGTTGATGACATTATCCTAACTGGTACTGATATGAAGGAGATTGAATCTTTGAAGCTCTTCTTGCATGAGAAATTCAGAATAAAAGATTTAGGAAGATTGCATTATTTCCTTGGGCTAGAGATATTGTACAGGCCAGATGGTGTCCTTATTTCACAAAGAAAGTTTGCTCTTGATCTTTTGAAAGAATTTGACTCTATGAACTACAAGTCTACAATTTCACCATTGGATCCCACTGAAAAACTGAGGCTTGCAGAAGGCAAACTATTGCCAGATCCCACCTACTACAGAAAATTAGTAGGCAAGCTTAACTTTCTTGCTAACACAAGAATGGACATAGCATATAGTGTCCAGCATCTCAGTCAATTCATGCAATCTCCTAGAGAACCTCATCTAAAAGCAGCTTATCATGTACTTAGATATCTACAACATGATCCTACCTTGGGAGTTTTTATCAACAATAGACCTGATCTTACTGTTAGTGCCTATTGTGACTCAGATTGGGCCTCTTGTCCTGATTCAAGGAAATCAGTGAGTGGTTATTTGGTTCTTATGGGAGATAGCCCCATTAGTTGGAAGTCTAAGAAACAACCTACAGTGTCATTATCATCAGCAGAAGCTGAATACAGAGCCATACGACAAGTAGTAGGAGAAGTGGTGTGGCTAGAAAGACTACTTGGTGAACTCTCAGTGACTATCCCTTTGCCTATACATGTATTTTGTGACAGTCAAGCAGCAGTACACATTGCTAAGAATCCAGTATTTCATGAACGAACTAAGCACATCGAGGTCGATTGTCATTTTGTCAGGACAAAGCTGCAAGAAGGACTGATTTACACTCCAATATGTTTCGACAGATGCTCAGCTGGCTGATATTTTCACTAAGGCATTGACTGGTATTAAGCATACTGGTTTGTTAACCAAGTTGTCTGTAAGCAAATTACTTCCAACTTGAGGGGGGGGGGGGTAATAAAACTAGCTTATCAATTAGTTAGTTAGTTAGTTGGAGTTAGTTAGTTGGCACTATTCATCTTTCAAGAAATTAGTTATAGTTGGTTCAAGTAGTTAGTTATAGTTAGTTATAGTCACATGTTTTGTATTGATGATTTGTTAATCTGCTAGCTCATCATTATTGTGTATATATACACATGTAATACATTGTTTGAGATTGAGTACTCTAATTCAAAATCAGATTCCTTCTTCTCCTTCATTTCGTTTCACTGTTGAAGGACTCAACCTCCATTAATGGAGGAATGAGGTACTTTCCAGCTTACATTGCTGGTTTCAACACTTGTTTTGTGATGAATCAATTGATCTTCCTCATATGAAATTCCTTTTTGTTTAAATATGACTTTTAACCTTACAACTTTGATTAGCCATATTTGTTAATCTATTTAGTTCTGCTAGTTTTCATTTTCTGTATTGCCTTGGGTATGCAAACGAAATGATTTTACTGCGTATAACGGAGAGAGGTTGGACAATGTATTTTTCTTTTCATCTTAACAAACAATTATAAGTCTATTCCAAATGTTTCAATCTTCTTGCTTTTGACCAGACTGAATTGCTAAAATACTGGACCAATTATGAATAGACGTTTTTGTTGGATTAAGTTATTAGCAATTCATGGTTAGTTAGTTATACTTTCCATTCGAGTTCTAAAAATTTTGTTGTCTATCAATCCCTTGAGGGATATCATTACAATTAAAACAGTTTCTTAATAAGTATTTAGGTGAAGTACTTAAGAGGTAAAATATGCTAATCTGAGCAGGGGCTTGTGATACGTAATTCTCCATCCATTTTTTGTAAACTGGTTGATTGGCATGGTAGATTGTTTTGCGTTTGTATTTATAGTGACAGGAGAAAAGCAATGTTTGAATGAAGTTTGTTTGATTGGGTAAATAGCTAAAATATCACATTGGACTGACAATTTTGAACTATTTAATGAAAGAACACTTGAAACTTGTAAATAATGTAGCATACTTTTGGTATCAAGTTGAGCTTCCAAACTACAATTCATTTTTGAGAACGGGTATGTTCTCTTTGTTAGCTTCTCATACTTGCGTATTGGATTCCCGTTCGCTGAATTCTCTAAAATATGAACTCCTAAGTTAGTCAGTTATTGATAATCTGCTTGTCATCCAAATCTATGCAAGAGAACTGATAAATTATCATGAAACTAGAGATGAATGAGCACAATGGAGATTTAGTAGTACTGAAGCAGTATGACAGCCTGCTGGCAATTGTCAGCTAGGCTGACAGTCTTCACCTTCATCTTTCTTCATACGAATTCGAGCATTATGTTGGATAATTCCAGCACAATCACCCAAGTTAAGTTTCGTAAGGCAATCGGGTGACTTTCTGTTTTTTCACAATGTTCAGCATCTAGATGCAAGGTGGTTCTAAAGTCAAGTTTTTCATTGTTTCCTTATCAGTTCCTTATCTCCTGAATGCCATGTTATGCCTTCCCTATTATTGTTATGTCCTCTTTACTTTTGTATTTTTTTTCCAAACTGCTTTGATATGTGTTACATGAAGTGAGGGGCTTTTGGAAACAATCTCTACATTCGCGAGGTAGGAGTAAGGTCTATGTACAAACTACCCTCCCCTGACCCCATCTAGAGATTACACTGGGTATGTTGTTGTTGTTGTCGAATATGTGCAAAGGATCTGCAGCATGAAACAACATCTGTTGTTTTTTCCTCTTTCTTGTTGAATACTAATGGTTTGTTCGTAGTCAGCACGTTTGTCCCATCAAAGGCTACTGCACTATATAATATTGATTCACTCACTGACTTTTGAAGGTGTTCAAAAACCATGGAGCCTCTGCTGGTGCTTCGATGAGCCATTCTCACAGCCAGATGATTGCTCTTCCCATTGTTCCTCCAACAGTTTCTGCCCGTCTCGACAGTATGATGGAATACTACAAGCAGACTGGAAAATGCAGCCTGTGTGATATTCAACCAAATGAGTTGTTAATTGCTGAATCAGCCCATTTCATATCACTGGTTCCCTTCGCTGCAACTTTTGCTTTTGAGATTTGGATAATTCCTCGTGATCACTCTTCTCATTTTCATGAAATAGATAGTGAGAAGGTAATGGAAGGCTCTTTTTTATCCATGGTTTGTTTTCATGAGAGAGTGATGTGAAATTACAGTAGTCAAATGTCAGTTATCTGCAAATTCTACATGAGAAACTTATAACCTTAATGGATTACGACTTCTGTCAAGTTAACCATGAAAGTGTCGTCATTTTTCAAGTAGAATTGCTGATTAGTGAAAAGAAAAAAGAAATCACCTAGCATATGTGGCTGAGGAGGTGGAAACTGATTCACGAAAAAGATTACAATGTTCTTGGTCATACTAATTTTCAAATTCTTTTTCTTTCTCGACAACCACTCAGTAGAATAGCTTGTCTAATGTTTTACCATTCAAATATGCAGGCAGTTGATCTTGGAGGGTTGTTGAAACTCATGCTTTTGAAGATGTCTTTGCAGTTGAACAATCCGCCATTCAATCTTCTGATTCATTCTTCCCCATATCAGGATGACCCCTCAAATGCACCTTCTACACACTGGTTTTTACAAATCGCTCCCCATTTGAGTGGAGTTGGTGGATTTGAGATAGCAACGGGATGTTACATAAATCCTGTTTTCCCAGAGGATGCTGCCAAAATTCTAAGGGATGTGAGAATCTCCAATAACAATATTTAGAGGAAATATATCAAATCTAATTATGTATGTCTTATCTTTTGATACGGTAGCTAAGAAAATAAGAGGATGTGAATCCATCATATGTTGTTTTAATGGTGCCTTGTTTCAATCATTGTTATTTGTACCTCTTCCTTCATTTAGTTTCACTTTCCATTTCTTCCTTCAATCTGACCATTTCTATTTCTTTTAACTTGTTCTTGCTTTGCATCTTTCCTCATTCATTTGCAAAGATATTCAAAACTTTTGTGGGGTGATACGGTGTTTACAAAGTTAGGTGTCTTTTTGAAAATCCAGAATAATTTCAGTGGTGATTGCATGTCTTTTCTATAAATATAATGATACTTTATTCATGTATCGTATCAAACTAAGGTCTTGAATATTTAAATCCACCTAATTTCACCCTTTTTAGAGGGTCAAATTATTAGTGTATGGTTATTTCATTAAATCAGAGGTTTCCACGACATAACAATTCCATCATGAAATTTTAACCCCATTAACCTCTTTTGAACGATTCATATACTCAAAGAATCCACTTTTGTGGGGCCTCTAGGTTCTTCAATATCGTTGTTAAATATTACGTTCATAATTCCACTAGAAGATAGAATTTAACGATCTAGAATTGAAAACACGCACAAATAATTATATTGCATAATATGTTGTTCCACAAAAATAATAGTCCAAGGATTCACCCCATAAAATCTTATGAAAAACATACCATTTGATCCTTGAAATTGAATTATGGAGCGAAAAGATGAAAGAGAAGTGCTTTATCTCAAGAGAGAAAAAACCTAAGCCTTGGAAAAGTCGCCTCTGGTTCACTGGTCAAATATTTTAAGTTATGACTAAGACTAAATGAAAAATTGACTTAAAATCGTGAATCACTATTTTTTTTTATCTTCACTACAACGAATTATTGACATGACTTTTCAAACTCAGTTTTCCATTTTCAGATTGTTGTCAACTCTTAACTCATGGGAACCTGTACTACAATTTAATGGTCTAAATAGATTCATCACTTATTTTTACTTATAGCACAAGTTTACTTGTACTCCAAGTAATACATAAATAATATTTACTGAATAATAAATTTCATTACTACATTGGTTACTTAATAGATGCATGGGCGGCTCAACATAATTCGAGCCCTAAAACGAAATTTTAATTAGAGGCCTAATTTTTTTAAAAAAATTATTTGTAATTATTTATTTTTCTAAAAATTTAAAATGTAAATTATTACTTAATATTTTTTCTATAAATGATTTTTTCAAATACTTTTTTTAAAATATTATTTTTAAGCAAGATTTTATCAATTCAACATTGAAAACATCATTTTATTGAGAAAATTATGATATGAATTGAAAATATAGTTTTATAAGTAATAAATTGATAAATTTTAAATAAAGATAAAAGTTAGAATTATAGAATTTGATTCAAAAAGTTGATAACTTGATATATCCTACTTTAATATAAAAATTATGAAAAAATAAAAGAATATTTGTAATTTACTTTGTTCAGACACTTTTTAGCTATTGATTCATATTTTTGATAGAATATTACTTTAACTGTCAAAGATTTGAAAAAATATAGTGCATGAAGAGTTACAAAAGATTTTTAAAAAATGTGAGTATTAGCAAAGAAAATATATATATACTTTTTATTATGATTTTTTTTCATCAAAAATTAAACATGATTTTTTATTTATCGAAATTTGAGCCCTCCCCCTCCAAAAAAAAGAAATAAATAAAACTGGGGGCCTAAGATAGTGACCCAAAAAATCATAGGCAAGAGTCGACACTGAATAGATGTACCAAATTAAGTCTTAACCTCTATAAATTGGTCCTCCCTACACCCATTAGGGTAATCTGTCACGACCCAAACCGGGCCGCGACTGGCACCCACACTTACCCTCCTATGTGAGCGAACCAACCAATCTAAACCTTAACATTTCAATATAATATCAACAGAAAGAAATGCGGAAGACTTAAACTCATTAATAAAGACCAATTCATTAACTTCTAAAATTCAACATCTATTATTCCCCAAAATCTGGAAGTCATCATCACAAGAACATCTACGATCAAATGACTAAACTAAGAGTACTCTAAAAGCTAAAAAAAATACATAAGAAGCTAGTCCATGCCGGAAGTTCAAGGCATCAAGACTTGAAGAAGAAGATCCAGTCCAAGCTAGAAGCATTAGCTCACCCTGAATTTCCGATGTAGTAAGACTGACTTGAATTACTGTTGAGTTGAAGACGATGACACGTTTGCTGCACTCCACAAATAAACAAGAAGAAAACATAAAAGTAGGGGTCAGTACAAAACACGGGTACTGAGTAGATATCATCGGCCAACTCAAAATAGAAAACAATATATACCAAGTAATATCATAAAATCAACTATGATACTCAACATGTAGCAACAACAAGCACTATATCATTAACAATTACCTTCAAGTTCACACATGAGGACTCAAGCCTCAATACCATACTCATTTGGGAATCATGTTCATTAGATTGAGTATATTAACATCTTTCAAGATTCATTATCTTTATTTCTCTTGTGTCGGCACGTGACACTCCGCTCCCTCATATTCATTAATCCTCTTGTGTCGGTATGTTTCATTCTGATCCTCTAAATCTACGTGTTGGTTCGTGACACCCGATCCCCTAAATCTACGTGTCGGTTCGTGACACCCGATCCCCTAAATCTACGTGTTGGTTCGTGACACCCGATCCCCTAATTCTACGTGTCGGTTCGTGACACCCGATCCCCTAATTCTACGTGTCGGTTCGTGACACCCGATCCCCTAATCTCATTCTATCAACTCATCAAGCCTTCTCCCTTACCAAGGCATCATCAATCTCATCAAAAGGTTCATCAAGCCTTCTCTCTTACCAAGGCATCATCATTAAAAAGAGATTAGGTTTTTATCAAGATTTGGGATTCAATAACTTCATCATGCTTAATATAATCACAATTATATAATCACGTTCATGCATGCATACAATTAAGCACATAGCAGGGTTTACAATACTATCAATATATATCATTCTCTATTAAGAGTTTACTATGAAAGCATGAAAACCATAACCTACCTCCACCGAAGAATTGAAATCAAGCAAGTTAATCCTCAAAGCTTGGTGCTTTCCTCTTCTCTCAATCGGTTCTCTCTCTCCCTTCTTGTTCTTTCTGTTTTCTTATTCAAACCCTCTTTCTTTTACCCTAATTAGTATATAATTAAGAATAAAAGATGGCAATAATACCCCACGAATTAACTTAAGGTTACCTCTTTTAACCCCCAAGAATTTGAGTTATTAATATAAACCCACGAGATATATAATTATAGCAGGAATAGTCCAAAACGCCCCTTTAAAACTTAACCAGAAATCCGACTCCAACTGGGATTATGCAAACTGTGACGGGCCGTCGCGCCTGCGACGGTCCATCCTGCTGTCCGTCGCATAGTTCAGAAACTTGATTTTTGGGTGAATGGCCTGTGACGGTCCGTCACACCTGTGACGGTCCGTCCTGCCACTCTGTTACGAAGTTCAGAGAGTCGATTTTCAGTACCCAATTTCAGATTTTCTAAGTGTTTTGAAACGAGACCCTGCGACGGTCCGTCGTGCCCATGACGGTCCGTCGTTGGGTCCGTTGCCTCAGCCTGTTTTTCCAGAATAAAATCTGCTGCTCAAAACGACTAAACAGGTCGTTACAATAGATACCAATTTACCCATCGTTCGTCCCCGAACGATCAAAAGAAGGAAAACAAGGGCGAAAAGGAGTACCTGAATCTGTAAACAGATGTGGGTATTTTTCTCGCATATCCGCCTCCTTCTCCCAAGTGGCTTCTTCAACGGGTCGATTCTTCCATTGCACCTTGATGGATGCAATCTCTCTTGACCTCAACTTGCGAAATTCTCTATCTAAAATAGCAACAGGCTCCTCCTCATAAGACAAGTTCTCATCAAGCAAAACTGAATCCCAACGGATAATGTAGTTTCCATCCCCATGGTATCTTTTCAACATCGACACATGGAATACCGGGTGTACTCCGGACAGCCTTGGAGGCAAGGCTAACTCATAAGCCACCTCTCCTACTCGCTTAAGTACTTCAAATGGTCCAGTGTACCTTGGACTTAGTTTACCCCTTTTACCAAACCGCATCACCCCTTTCATTGGTGAAACTTTCAACAAGACTTGTTCACCCTCCATGAACTCTAAGTCTCTAACCTTTCGATCTGCATATTCTTTTTGTCTACTTTGCGCCGCTAGAAGCTTTTCTTGAATAGACTTCACTTTCTCTATCGAATCCTTCAAAAGGTCAGTACCCCAAGGCCTAACCTTAAATGCATCAAACCAACCAATGGGAGACCTACATCTCCTACCATACAATGCTTCAAATGGAGCCATATCAATGCTTGAGTGATAGCTATTATTGTATGAAAACTCCGCTAAGGGTAGGAAGCTATCCCAATGGCCACCAAACTCTATCACACATGCACGAAGCATATCTTCCAACACTTGAATCGTTCGCTCAGACTGACCATCGGTCTGGGGATGGAACGCAGTACTAAGGTCCAACCTAGTACCCAATTCCGCATGCAATGTTTTCCAAAACTTAGAAGTAAACTGCGTACCTCTATCTGATATGATGGATAGTGGAACCCCATGCAATCGAACGATCTCTGAGATATATATCTTGGCTAACTTCTCGGCATTGTAAGTCACCTTAACCGGAATAAAATGAGCAGACTTAGTTAACCTATCAACAATTACCCAAATAGAATCAAACTTTCCCAATGTCTTGGGAAGACCAACCACAAAGTCCATTGCAATTCTCTCCCACTTCCATTCAGGAATGGGCATTCTCTGAAGTGTTCCTCCGGGCCTTTGGTGTTCATACTTTACTTGTTGACAGTTTGGACACTTGGCAATAAAGTCAACAATATCACGCTTCATT